AATTCCGATGATATCAATAGAAATTCCGATATATATTTGTTAAGAGTAAAGGACTAAGCGAAAGTATGTTGAATCCGAATAGTTATCAATTTCAGCTGCTCGAGGCGGGCGCTAATGAATTGGAGTTTTTGTCGACTATCCTTATCGCAGCGCAGATGTTTATTTTATTGGCTTATAATCCTTACAAAGTAGTATTCATTCATATGCTCGTCTTGATATGATTTAAAAACAAGTTCCTCGTCATTATTAGCCTTCCGATAGCGAAGAAGGGAAAAATGACAGAGGTTATTGAAAACAAAAACAAGAATTATGTCTGTTTAATAGAATTAAAGAGAAGTATTATCACATGAAACGAAGCAAAACTTTAAACAACTTACATTGAAAGAAATGTTTAAAAAGTAAAACAATAAATATTAAGCTTTCTTTTTGCAATTTGATACCCTTTCATAATGTTATATTTCATAATTTCGGTTTCATATTTAATTTTAGAATTCTGCATGCATTTACGAGATTTAAACTGATGATCTATAATCGGAAATCGCCGAAGTTCCCGACGAGGATTAACGTTGATGTACTAAATTCAAAAACACTACTTAAAATATAAATAAACATACATTAAATAATAAAAATTAGCTTACAATCCTAATTACTTTAACTAAATCATTGCTAATAACAATTTTCCAATAATACCAAATTATTTACTTCCACCTTAATTAGAACAATGCATAAAAATATCTCAAATAATAAAAATATATCTTACCTAATCTTCTTCAGAATTTTGCTTACGTGGTGGATACACTTTTATAATGGATTCAATAAAATTATTGAAAGATTTTTTCTGCGAATTTTTCCTCTACACTTCCTTTGCTAAAAAAAAGCAAAATTCTCTTTATCACAATGCTACGGAATGGCGCTTTTTATAGCACTACACGTGCCCTTGAAACTGGTATGTGCACCTGTTTCAGGATCTTTAAAATAATTTTTATGGTTCACAGCAAGATGTTTAAAACCTTCATCCTCCAAACATTCGTATGATTTCCAGCAATCAGAAATAATTATAGTACCCAGTAGAATATATTCTTTAATAAAACTTAATAAACAATCTTTACTTCATCTCGCACAACCTTAAAAAACATTTATTACTACCCCTTTCAATCTCCAAAACCATTTCCTTTCCACTCCTACCTCTCGATACTTCGCTTCCCAACTTACTCTCTCAATTTCCAAATAAATTCTACACAAGCATACCCTATCATTTTCGCAAAATTCCACGCCACATTCCCTACAAAAGATTCCAATCAGCTGCAGTCTACTGCTAATTTCTAATCGAAATCCAATAGTCAACTGGCAATCTATTCACCCAATAATAAGAAATCAATAAAATCTCACCCTACTCAAACGACTTTCAGCAAAAACGCCCCTCCTACACCGTTTCACAAAATGTCCATTTCACCAGATTTCTTGCACCGCATTCAACTTATCAGTAAATCCTCCTTTCACACAATCATTCATTCCCACATTTTGGACATTCTACTTATCCGCAAATTAAAATACACTCATGCACCATTCAACCAATTCTTTGAATTATCACAAAAAGCATTAAAATTTAGAATTCACTTTAGACAGCGCCATACAATCTCAAATATTCAACCTGCTTCACACAACACACATGAAGGCTTAATACAAAAAATATAACAGCCACAGATATTTTCCAAATTCCCCCTTTTCCGATTAAAGAACCGTAATTCGTCATTAATATCACATGGACATATCCCATGATCTCTCATTTCCCTCACACAAATAATGTGTAATCGGAACTGAGTATGCTCACATTATTACCAAAGTCCCAGGTAGTAACCTTTATCGCCTCCAAAATGTCGCCAAAATACCAGTTACCATATTCTAAAGTCGCCCATTAGTAACCACTACATTTACAATGATTATTTTTCAATTTCTCTATAGAATATTAAGAAATATATATATATATATAATATAGATTGTTTGTTATTGACTATTGGCTATTTGCATTAAATATGCACACATAAAAAATATCAGCTTAAAAATTGGTTACGATTTTAAGTAACAAAATTTTAAGTTATAATACTTTAATTCTAAGATTTGGGCCTTTTTAAGTAAGATCAATTTCTTTATGTCTCGTCTTATTTTACTTAGTTTTAAGCATAAATGAGGATCCACTTTTAGTTTTGTTCTCTATTTATTTTTCAGATATAACATGGAAGAAAATCCTTACTTACATAAATAGGTTGTGCAAAAAGGCCATAAAAATTTAGTAGCTTTATTTGAAATGCCTTTAAGTTCTGTTTTTTGACTCAACTAATAGTTAACAAGTGTGTTATTTTTGAAATCTTCAGTTAGAGTTTGATCACAGGAAATTTCTATCAATTGTTCTTTTTCTTCATGAGATAGAATTTCAGGTACATTTGAACAAAATGGATTTCTAACCCAATTTTCTTTTTCATAATCCTTGGGAAAATACATGTTGAAATTATTTGTTCATGAAAAAAAAAATGATTTTTAATCTCAGATGCTAATTCTTCTTTTATTTTCAAACTATTTTAGGTTAGAAATCTTTCTAAAAGTGGTAAAAAGCTTAAAATATTATTATCCAGTTCTTTGGTTAATGGCTCGAGTTTTTTTAACATTGCATTTATTTTATCTCTAATGGGAAACAAATTAACACTTTGTCCTTATAATTTTAAATTTAATTCATTTAACTTTCCAAAAATATCAGCTAAATATGCCAAAAATGCCAACCATAATTAAGTAAATAAACATTTTTGCAATTTAAATTTTGAATCACAGAAGAAAATTTGAATTTCTGATTGAAGTTCAAAAAGACAATTTAAAACTTTGCCTCTGGATGGACTTAATATAAGATGCTTACCTTGCTTTGGAATATAACAAAAGCGTTTCATGTTCACAGCTGATCTCTTATAAAATTGTAAATATTCTTGAATTTAAAGCTTGGCTTTTAATTAAATTAAAATTTTCACAGCTTGATTCAAAACAATTTTCAGGTTTTCAGTGATCATTTTGGCTTTTAAGCTTCACGATGAATGGGAGCAGTGAGTAAATTTAGTTTCATGTGTGACTTTCTTTATTTGAGAAATAACACAGGAATATTTTCATCTTAAAGTAAGAGTTCCATCACTGCACTTATTCTAAGGAATATCATTCTCAGACACAAAATTGTCAATTACTCAGAAACTTTCATTTGCAGTTGCTCTATCATGAAGACATTTGCAAATAAATACACTTATAGTAATTTGTTTATCTTCTTCGAAATGTGTTTAAACTATTAATTGAACAAGGTTCATTATATCTGTACTTTTATGCAATTGCAATGCAAAATACTCACTGTATTTTATTTTTTGAATAAGTGAGTCTTTTATGGAATTTGTCATTTTATAAATTCATCGACTTACTGTATTGTTTGATAACAGAATATTATTAAGTTTATTAGCCACTTTTTTGTTGAATAAGGTTAAAACAATATCTTTAGCTGCTGGTCATAGACGGTTTTCTCCAATAGTGTGAGCCTGCCCAGTCCTGGCAATTCTTAGGCTTACTATGTATCTAGCTTCCAAATCCTTTTCACTCGAAGCAACAAAACCTTTCATTATTTGTTTGCTCTTTTTGAATTCCGATAATTTCTTCTTAAAATATTCTTCAGATTTATTCTTTAAATTGCATTGAGGGTTCATTTCATCCCCATTATAAGTAAACCTAAATGAAAAAATAACTATCATTATATTTTCTATAAACAATTTTTCTTATCAGTATTCTTAGTGTTAGTAGATTGTCCTATATCCTTGACCTGTGAATGATCACTTTTCCACTTAGTCACTTTTTCCATTTTGAAAACCTAGCTTTATTTTATTATTTTTTCACAAATATTTAAATGGGCAATGTATTAAGAGTTCTTCAAAAATAAATTATGATATTCTCAAATCGCATTGAAAAGTGAAGAACACAAAGCAACAAGAAGACAAAAGACCTGCCTTGAAAGACAGCAAAACAACATGGAAGAGTGATTCTAATTGAAAATAGTGCAATGTGAGCATGGAAATGGTGTCGAAATAAAATGTACACATGCTACTAAATCAATAACTCTAAAAGAATTAATGAGATACTATTATCTTTTTATAGAAACTTATTTCCTATTAAATACATTAATACTATTTACTCGCTTTAAAAACATCATTTATGACAAATGTTATGTCTATGGCTAAAAGAATATTTGTGAAAATAAAAATGCGTTATTTTGTTAAAGTCTATGAGCAGCTATTGACCTTGAACAAAACTCAGATTGCATAAATTAGCGTGGGTTAGAGAAGTAATTTAAACTGAATGTTGAGTTTTTAATTTTTGAATTTAATATTTAAAAATGCATTGTTTCTTTGCATGCCACCTAATTTCCTCTTGCATATCACTGGTTGAGAATTGCTGGATTAGAGAACTGAGGCATTGCGATTAACATAAAAGGGGATGTTTATTTCTAACTGACATTGTGGTTTTGCCATCGAAATATCGTACGAAGTTTTGAGAGTTCTGTGCATGCCCGCCTCTGATGAGCAGTGGATGGAGGAGAGAATGGCGTGCATGCAGCGGCAGTTCCTTTTTCTAATCAGAATGTCATTATTGATGTGTTAAATAAAGTTTATATATTTTTTTTCCTTCTCTATGTTGATATTTGGCACTTACTAAAATTCTAATTTTAATAAGTACCAATATATATATATTGTTATATTTGTATTTGTATTGTGTATATATATGTATATATAGTTACATTGTTACTACTTTAATATATTATATATATATTGTTATATTTGTATTGCAGCTTAATTTATGCAATTACATTATTTAGAGGTGAAATAATAGCGTATAGTGTATCCTAATCTATGAATAATTCATTTTAAATGTTATTTTCTCCCAAAAATAAGTGCATTAATTTAAATAGGTTTATTTAATAATTTCAGCTTTTATCACATCCTATGTTGAGAGGGAGTATACCATCTCTGGAAAATCTGAATAATTTTGTCAATGAAATGCTTTTGATTCATGAAAACCTGCACAATGTTATCATTTCTGGAGAATGTAACTTAGCAGAAGCATTAAATCAGTTATCATCGAATCTGAAACTATATACTTCTTATTCTCGAATTCTCGATATGGATATAACATCATTACAGGTAAATGCACTTTGTTGTAAAATCTAGAAATCAATTACATAAATTTTGCATAGTTTACATTTGGTTCTTTTCTTAAATATTTTTATTTATCTGTCATAAAAGTGGTTATTGAAACTATTCAAAAGGTAGCTTAAAAACAAAATCTCACATATATTATCTTGTGTAACTAATAATAGTAAACAATAAATTATGTTTAAAAAATTTTCAAAAGTTTTATTCCACTTACTTAAGTTTGATATTTTATATACAGGTATTCATATAATATCTATAAACTCACAGTCATACAGTGAGAGAGCGTTTTTGATGGGAGGACTTAGAAATTTAAAAGCTACTTTTGTATTATGTGCAGTACCCTCCTGCAAAGTAGCTACTTTAAAAAATGGCGATGTGCTGAAAGTTAGATAAAACAGTAACAGATTAACAAAATTAAAATTGCAAGAAACATCCAAAATAAAACAACAAACATCTGGTAAAAATATATTTCAGGATACCCCTTGGCAAAAACTGGTGACTTTTTGGTGCCATTCCTGTCTACATCAAACGCCCTCCCCAGTAAAATGGTGTCCAAAACATAATGCAATAAAACATAATTAAAACAAAAAATATATAATCTCAATAAACTGCATTTTAAATCAAACAAGGAAATAACATAAAAAAGGAAGTGCATATTATCTCATCTACGCACTACAAAAAATAAATATCGACGTACCTTAATTAGAAATTTCTGTGTCTTCAGTTTATGGAACACAAAATTCCTTAACAGCTTCCAAAAACTTTCTAAAATTATCTGAACTAGAAGCTGCAGTTGCCACATAAATTCACAAAAATATGAATAAAAATATTCTTAGTAGTGTCAGACAAAGCAATCTGAACGATCTTTATGTTCGACCATACGCATTTTCTTTGTATAAACAGGACACTTATAATGAATACTAAGTAAACCTTAATTGGCACACCTGTCAATTATTGCTTTTTTTCCCTTTCGTTCCACATCGTACAGAAACTTCAAATTAATCTTATCGTATGCAGCCATTTTACGGTGCGAATCGCGAAATAAGCAATGTACTTCCTAACCAACATCCAACACATAAATAAGCCCTTATAAATATTTTCCCATCAGTCAAATTCACTGTAATCATGCAACCAATCGCGTCATAATAGGGTTTAACATTCAACTACTCGGGTTACCATAAATGAAACAACAACTCGGTGATAATCCAAGGTGAACGCTAAAAACTAACCAAACATCTGTAACAAAACACTCAAAATTGCGTGAAACAGCAGTAAATTGGTTAAATTAAAAATGCTAAAAGCATTCATAATAAAACACTTAATGTCCTTTTTCTCTAGTCTTTTGTATATGTGGGTGTATCTCTTTTAACTTTAAAAACATCAGAGAATTTTCAGAATTATTGGCATTGCTTTTCGTATACATAATGACTTGTTTTAACTTGTTAAAAAAAGGTTAATGAATTATGCAAATTAACTTCATGCAAGTGCATTCTTACACTCTCTACTGTTAGGCAAAATGACATATTTCTGAAAAATACAGCACTTTTGTTTTCATTAGAAGGCAAACTCCATGGTGGCATAATGATTAGTTACAGATAAAAAAAGGGAAAAAAATTGCATGCTAATCACAGCAAACAGAAACCACAAACATGACTCTCAAATTTCAAAACAGCACACCTTTCCACCACTGCTTAATGCTACCATATATGATGGCATTAGGTATGTAATGTACACGCAAGCTTTACTGGGTTGCCATATAAAGAGATTTTTGTCAAATTTTGTGTTGCCTTCTTTGGCAGCCTAGCATTTTGCCTGGTGATTCTTGTCAGAGTTGAGCAGAAAATGTGATCAAAATATACTATGCAGTTATAGTTAATACATTTTTTTCATAAGTGCATGAGTTTGGATGGTAAAGCAGAAGTTTATTTTATAAGTACTTACTTGTTTTTGTTCAGTATAAAGTATCAACATAAATGTATTTATGATTAAAAAGTAATACTAACAACAATATTTGAATAATGAAAAGCGGTATTTACAGTAAATTATGTAGTATATGCAAGAATGGGTGACCAGTGAATATGTAATATGCTAAAGCAGGTTTTTATGTTTTTTGAATACCAGACAAGTGATATACATATAGTTATTATTTTGTATGCCAAAGTGATGTGTAATTATCACACTGGTATTATATAAATACACATTTATTGTGCTGATTTATGTGAAATAGTATTAGTCTTTCTTTTTTTTACATTAATTACTACATTTTACATAACATAATAACTATGGCTCTACTCTTATGTGTGTCTTAATTTCACCAAATGTGGCGATATGTGTTGTGCGCTGGTTTTAGGCATGATTACGTGTTCGGAGCGATGTTGGTTTCTATGGCAACCCTTTTTATGTGGAAACTTGGATTTGCTAGTTGGTTCGTGGGGGTAATTAAGGGATTTATGATGTGTTGGCAAAATTTTAGTCGTGTGCCTGGTACAACTATTTTTTTCTGGTGGCTGAAAATTCTACGAGTATTTAGGAGAAGAAGGTTTTGAACATTAATTTGTGAAACATAGTATCAACTTTGTGGATAGTGAGTCTGGCTGTCATATAAATAATAAATTAAGATTACTATGTCATGATAGCTTACGTGGCGGCGCGTTAAAGCGACGTTGCCGACTTATAATCGGAAATGTGATTTGGAGATTTATTTGGTGGTTTATATACTTTTCCATCGTTGTTCTGAAACGGGAGACGATGCTTTTAACAAATTTGTGGTGAAATTGTTTTGGTGATGTTTGAAATTGGTATTTCTGCTGTTTGAAGAAGCATTCATTCATGGTAAGTGCATTTTGTTTTATTCTTGTTCTTATTTAGTAGAATATTATTTTCTTTGTTTTTTAGTATGAATTTCTGTCGTTATTGTTGTTTTTGGAATTGTTTGAAATTTATTTTAGTTTATTTTGTTGATTAGTGCATTGTTTTTTTGAATTGTTTGAAATTTATTTTAGTTAGTTTTGTTGATTAGTGCATAATGCCTACATTGTGTAATTCGTAAATGTTTTGTAAAATTTAAACAGAACGCTGTGTACACGGTATTCTTGAAATTCATTGTTGTTAGTTAATTTATTAAAGCGAGGTGTGCGTAGATCGTAGATTTCGTTTCGTTACCTTGACTGTGCAATGTGTAGATGTTTTTTTAAGTTAAAACATATCACTGTGTACATGGATTCTTGTCAAATATTTTGGGTTAGAAACTTTACGTTTTCGCTATCTAAATTTTTTGTTTTTGTTTCAAATTTTTAGCTTAAATTGTGTGTTCAAAACATAGTTTTTTGCATGTGCGAAAACCGCATTTTTAGAGATATTTTAGGCTTAAAGTTTGAAATGTAGACAAAAAATTTAGATAGTAATATGGCAGCATGGATTGGCGAGAAATTTGGCGACATGAGGTCGCATATAAGAGTAGTTCCATAACTATAAATAATAGAAAATTTATATTACAGTTCATGTAAATATTGTGGCTATAGCTATGAAACTGTTTCAGATATTTTGATATCTTAGAAAATTCTGAAACGTTACATACACTGCATATAATGTCTGAAACCTTTTTAAGCTGTACTGCATTTGTGCTGTGTTGCATGCAGAGTCGTAGCTAGGGTTTTCAGCGCCCAGGGACAACTGAAGATTTCGCGCCCCTATTGCTTGCCAAGGATGGAAAACATTAAATTCTAAAATGTCGTAACATCAGTTTGGCGCCCCTTGGATTCGGCGCCCGAAGACAGATGCCCCCTCTTGTCCCCCTCTAGCTACGCCGCTGGTTGCATGTATTGCATTTGCTGAAGTCTTTTGAACTTTTATCATTCAGTGTTATGACAGTTGCTTTCATAAGACATCTAATATCTTTGGTTGAGGCATTTTATATGTAATAATTACATTTGCATTCCTCCTGTTCCAGTATTTTATTTAATTATGCATTGATGATATTACACACTTTTTCATATTTATCATGTGCAGTTATTTATGATTTCATCTCATACTTTTAGCTAAAGAATGTCCACAAATATTCTCTCTGATTTCAACATCTTATTATTTTCCAAAATTTGCAATGGGGTTTTTAAAACATAGATGAAGGGGGAACTCATTCGGATTGTTCATCACAATCAGTTAGTGAAGTTCTTTACATTATGATGATTCAGAAGTTCTGACAGATGGAATGTTGCCTTATCATCTAAGACTAATACATGTAATGTTTTCAGTTATTCCAACACATCGTGAGCGAATGGTGAGGCTATTCCATTACACGTTCTGGCAGATGGTTAACGAAGCTGGGGTGATTGAAACACGGAGTAAAATGACGACTCAGGACTTTTCACTTTTAACAGCAAGCATATCTTTATTTTAATTTATAGCAGATGACTTTTTCCAGATGAAGTTAATCAAATAACTTATTCAGTAATTGAACTATTAGATACGACTGACTTTAAACTTTAATACTTCATAACGTTCTAACAAAGAAAGAGGAGCATAGCGGAAGCGTTAGCAGGACGAAGGCGAGAAGGCATCTGTCTAGGAGAACTTATGACGCAGCATTTATATGAAAGGTTATGTAACAGAGTAGCTTCTAGAAAAATGTAGAAAACTTATGACGCAGCATTTATATGAGGAGGTTATGTAATAGGCGTGAATGTTCTAGCAGGTACTGGGTTAGGGGACGATCCTGAATTGCAGAAAAGTAATTAAAGGTTGCTGGTTCGCAAAGAGCAAAGCCATCATATTTTTTTTTATATTTTACATCTCCCCCCCCCCCGTCAAAAAGAGAGGCCGGGGTGAGAAAAGCATTAGTACAGGAGTGAAGCAAAAGTATGAGAAAAGACATGAAAACATCCAGAACATAGCGTACAAGCTTTAACTATGGCCTATCATAGTTCATGACTTTCTCATATAAAATTTTGACTTTATAGCATATGAAATTTTGAACATTAAAACAATGAGTT